ACACACACACACACACACCCGCGCGCGCACACAAAACACCGCAGGATTCGCTTAAACTCTTTCCAGACCGCCCATTTCAATAATACGGAGGGGGGACTAAAGGGGGAGCCGAGACTACACGATGGGGACCTGGCAAATGTTCGGTGGAAGAGTTTTTTTTTTATTTTTCCTCCTGTAACAAAAACTCACTATTCACCTAAATAAACTGATATTCACTGTATTTTCACTATGTCCTTTTTATATTTAAGTTTATAACTTCATGGCACCTTATGGTAGATGGTAAAATCCGGCCTGGAAAAAAAAAAAATAACAAAACAATACGAAAGGAAACAAGCATAATTGTTTCTTATATTCTTTATATGTGATAACCTACTAATGAGTGAGTTCTGTTATTATTATTAGTGTCATTACACAATGTCTGTTCATGCTTGGCAATGATATACAGTAGCCTATATCTTTGCTATAGAATATATTCATCAGTAATTTAGTGAGAACAGGATTAAATGTCTTCCATAATATATGTAAAGGGCTATTATTATTTGCTGTTGTTTCATATGCTGTATATTCCCAACATATGCTGTTGCTATCTTCACACACCTTCAATATATGGCAACAATAAAGGAGCCCTCAACTAAGACAGAGTGACTGTAGTGTTTTAACTTAACCTTAAGATATTTTCCAGCTAGGATATAATTTCTATAGCATCCCATAATTTTTACTTACATTTTTTCCTCATGTTTGTCATTAGATTAAGGCATATTAACAACATTCATCATGCACATATGAAGTATGGGAACCAGACTAATTGATGACAGGATTATTACAAAATAAATCTCTATTAAGACAGCAGGCAAAGAAGAAATTTTTTGTTTCAAAATATGTGTTAAGTTTTGTAATCACATTGTTAGAATTTACTCAATTTCCTTTTACAAGATAAAGCACCAACAACCTTTCCCAAGCCTTTCCTGTGCACTCAAACCAGATGTTGGTGCAGCAATACAAGCCTCTTGTGGAAATACATAAATAAAAGTGTCAACATTAAGAAAAAAAAAGGTTAATTTATCAATAAGATTAGCTGACTAATATTCTCAAAGTCAAAGGATCGACTGGGAGCTCGAATAGTTTCTGCTTCTTTCTGTTTGCAGCAGATGATGCTAAATTTAGTGCTAGAGTGATGAGTTAAAGAGCTTCACTTCAAACACGTTTATCATCCGCTGTCCTCCTTATTCAACTTAATCTTTAAAAATGGAATATATATTTGTTCTTGGAAAAAGTAAGGCTTTTTATCACAGTAGAAGTCATAGTTTCTCTCAATGTCAAGCACTTCTTATTCTAAAATGCAACCTTGTGCAAAGCATCAGCTAAGCACAAACAAGATATACAAACTACATCCACTATTAATGAGATGGAAAGAGTGGCCCCTCTGCTGGATTTCTTCCCTCAGTGACTGGGAGCATGTCAGCAGCAACACTGGGTTCAACATAAATATTTTCCCCACAACCATGGAGAGCAATGGGAACATCCAAAGAGCAGTTCATTTTATCACTGGGAAATTAGGCACTGGTTAGAAAATGTCCTTATAGAGGAACAAAGTGGTCTGCCAAGCTGAGGGAATGCAAGAGGGAAGAAGGACTCAGACAGGAATGATGGCGAGAGAGGGCTACAGCAAATGCTTAAATGATTTATTTATGTGAATAATTACCAACATGTAGTATATCTTTTTAGCCATTTACACACGTGTCTGTCTCAGGACTGAACCGTCTAAAACTATCAGAGCAGTAAAGTTTGTGCTGTGAGACTCATTAAGGGAATTGTGGAGGACAGAAAGAAAACAAAAAAAGGTTTAACTTGGACGCTAACCAGCGCAGAGCCAAAAGAGGAAAGGCTGATAAGACTAGGACTAAGACCGCTGTGTCCCTGCTTGTTGTGGACTGTTGGAGGCTCAGTTGCTATGTGATTCCAAACATGTGAACAAGAAAAATGTGCACAGGTCATAACCTCTATTAAAATAGATAACAAATAGCTGACTAGATCATTTTACAACTCAACATGATACTTAACAGGTCCATCTTGATGGCATGTCATGGTATATCATTGTGACTAATGTAAACTGTTGGTTGGCTATTGTACGTATCTTTTTCTTTTTCTTTTATCCTTCTCTCTTTAGCGGGTGCGATCAGTAATAGCTTCTTGTTGTTAGTATTATCTGTTACGCCCATGTTTTGGTTGGGGCCTGGGGCCTTTTCTTCTCTGCTCTGAGGTCATTATTGATGATGGCTGTAAGGGTCAGCGATGGTCTCACTTTGTCAGAGGCTAATTTAAGCTGCAACAACAAACTGGCAGACTTTAGCAATGAGAAAGACTTCTATTTGTGGCAGCACAGCTCCATCTACTGGTCACACTGCAAACATTGACTATATTTTACATTTTCTGGAAAAAGTTAGTGACTTGATTAAAGGGTCTTTGGCAGCAGCTGTTGAGGGGAGGGAGTGCTATTTATTCACAATTCGTCCAGATCAACGTTTGCATATTTGACCTGGAAACAATTTTGAAAAGCAGAAGAGATGGGATAAATCTTGAGAACAAGATAATGTAGGGACCACCCCTTGATTTAGAAGTCAGAAATCAACATAATCTTTACATACAGGCTGCTGCCTTATACACAGTAATTTCACAGTTACTGCGGCAAAACGGTTAACAGAAAAGCTTTGATCAGAGAGCTTTGTGGTCAGCTGCTGTGGTGAGGTTTCCAGGCAACACATCGGGAGCTGAAGAGCATTGTGTACTGTATGATCTGTGAAGCAGCAGCATTAGTAAAGGTGAGAGCACAGCCTGGCACCTGGGGAGATGTGAGGAGAGGTGCAAAACTCAGCTTTCAGTCAGAACAGTGCAAAGAAGAAAGAGAGAGAGAGAGAGAGAGAGAGAGAGAGAGAGAGAAGAGAGAGAGAGAGAGCTCTGT